AGCCTCTCAGAAGCCCGTTGACTCTTTTTTTCTCGCTCAAAGTCACTCAAAACGACGAAAAACCGTCTGTTCTCTCATTCATTCAATCAGTCCTTGGATGGCTGCGAGAGCCCTTGGATGTCTCCGAATGTTTGATTCATCGTTGATCTCCACACACGCCACGCAAAGTGATGCAGCCTGAGTGATTTTGTAAGAAGATTCGTCATTGACACATTCACTTGGCGTCATCAACGGTGTCTGATGGGCCATGACGGCACGAAAGGCATGAACAGCAAGCATAACAGGAAGCAAATCACATAAATGATGCCGCCCCACCGCCTGCAGCAGTGAATGCATCGGTCGGAATGGCCATCAAATCGCTCTCACGATGAGTGGGTAGTGGGTGGGCGGATGGGGTGGGTGTGGGTGGGCGGAGGGTGAAGTGATCCATGGAATGACTGAAGAGGAAGGAAGGCTGAACACATCAGGGCTGAAGAAACGTGTGTTCGGCTGGATGAATGCCGCCAGATGCCTCAGGTGACTCTGTTGACCACCCTCTTGTTTGTCACAAATGGGTGTCGGTGCCTCAAACGTGAAGCAGCTGCTCTTCCGTTTACATCGTGATCAACCTCGCCAAGCAAACTCGCCTTTTTGTCGCCTTGATTCGTCTCAGAAGATGACAATCAAAATGTCTGTATTTCTCCATGGAATCACTCTTTCATCGGTCCGCTCTTTCACAGAGGTGTTCTTCATCGTCTTGCGGTCATTTTGAGCCACGAATGGTCGGCCCGAATGGCTGATTTGAGTCTCTTTGGGAGCTGACCCGGTTATCCGGTCCGTTTTTGACTGTGTACGGAGTGATCAGGATGGGCTGACCCACATACGCAATTGACCCGCTTATGCGGTGACCCACTTACGCGGTCCGGACTGTAGTCTGCCACAGCCCTTTCCACAGGCTACCGTTCCCCATTCCTGACGGCTACCAGCCCAGCAAGGCCAACAGGAAGGCATGGCTTGCAGAGTAGGTGCCTTTCCCATAGGGAGGACGACACGCGTTCTGCATCATGATGCCGTCTCATTTGTACTCGATTGTGCAGTTACGACCAATTGTACGCCTTTGCTGATCTGCCTTACTTCAACTTCAGCCGTCGCAACGTGCCAACGTACAGCCCTCAATTCCCCAAAAGCATCTTTCCCCGCAAACTCTGTACGCGTCTCGCTGTACACAATTAATGCCACACAATGCTACATCGTCATGCGCGCGCCTTGGTGTGTGTCTGTTTGCACTGTCGATTAGTCGCGTTCGACTTGGAAGAGCGCAAGGTGTTCTGGTCGCATTGGGCGGCAAGATACGGAAGGGCAGAGATTGTGCCTCACTTGGACATCCTGTGTGGGGAGGAGGACAGCGATCCCTGCATGCCTGGTGAGGGATTCACTCACCCAGTTGGCACGATGGATGGATGCATGACGGGCGCTTGGTGGTTGGTGCATGTGGCTTGACTTGTCTCGTCGGGTGTGTATGTGTGCAGGGTATTGGCCGCATGACGTGTTGGAAGCCCCGACACCCCATTACTGGCAGATGAACGTCCTGGACAATGATCACCTCAACGAAGGTATACGTCTCTGTCTCATGAACAAGTGTGTCTGTCTGTCTGTCGGCCTGTCGACCATTATCTTCCTTCCCTTTTCCGTGTTCGCAGCTCACCAGCACCTGGATCTGCCGCTACACCACTTCAAGGATATCATCTTCCACAACTGTCATCGGGTGAGAGACTCCAGGGGTGTGTATAACATTGTCTATGTCTTCCTCCCTCCCTCCCTCCCTCCCTCCCTGTCTGTCTGTCTTGTCTGTTTGTAGGACATGTTCTTCCTTGAGGACGACGAGGTCAAGCATGTTCAGTTGATGGACGGTACCACCGCGCAATTCCGCCCTGCGAACGTCGACATGTGGTTAACGACGCAACTCCTGCTAGCCACGGATGGCCTAGTTGCCAACACGATCTTTCCTGCGCTCTTTTGGAACGGGAGGCCTGCAAGTTTTCCAACAAGGCGTCCCGTTCCCCCTTCCCGTTTCTGCGAACACCACGAGCGCTTTGGCCGTAAAATGTGCTGGGACTCCAGGGCTCACCTGCAGGACTTCGAGGTCTCCATGGTGAGAGAAACACACGTGGTATGCCCTTCTCCTTTCCTCCATGTGTGCACGTGTCTGTGTCTCTCTTACCCATTGTGATGGCATCTCGGTCGATGCGCGTCGGAAAAGGCCATGCTCGGTAGGCAGCCAACTGTCAGGCAGACGAGGTGCTCGAATGAATGGATGTAGTTGGACATCTGGTGTCGCTGCTTGCAGAGCAGCAGCACGGGTGGCGCTACTTGGGAGGATGGGAAACACAGGACTGGGTGGGCGACGCGGGAACAGAGGACTGGGTGGGCGACCGCGGCATGACCAAGAAGTTCGGCACCATCTTCCACAGCTGTGATCACCCGGAGTTCGGACACCTCTGTCAGCACTTCTCTCCCACAGCCTGAGAGTCGACCGTCCGCTGTGTGTGTGAGAGAGAGAGAGAGTGAGAGAGAGAGAGAGAGGGATTGTGTGCGAGCCTGAGAGTCGACCGTCCGCTGTGTGTGTGTGTGTGTGTGTGTGAGAGAGAGAGAGAGAGAGAGAGGGATTGTGTGGAGGGAGGGAGAGAGTGAGAGAATGAGTGATTGAGAGGGTCGAGACAGAGTCGATGGATCAGCGGTGGGGGGGACGCAAAAGGCGCGACATGACAAACTGATCAACGCACCGATTGTCTGATATCGATTAGTACACAAATGTACATCTTCCACGGCCAATGCACATGTACGTCTGTATATATGTGTGCACGTGTGTGTACCGCCAACACAAGAGGGCTCCTCATCGACTCAATTAACGCGCTGAGGGGCGAATCAGCCATGATGGCGATGTTGCTTGCGGGCTTTCTCCTCCTCACCGCCGCACTGTCGACGGGCTCTTGCTTGTCGTACGACAGTCAGGACACCGACCCACTTCATGTGCTGCCCACTGACCAACTGACAGAGGCGGAGGCGCAGGCACACAATCACACACACACACACACAGATGACACCCACATCCATCACTCTCTCTCTCTCTCTGTCTGTGTGCCTTCAGGCAGCCGTCCACAAGCTGCAGTTGGCGGAGCGGGGCGAGACACAACCAACAGAGCCGCCCAGCGCCGTGACACCACCACCCAAGCAGCCGCCCAGCCGCCAGGCCGCACCGTCCACAATGGTCACAGAGACGATGGAGGCAAAGGGCGTCTTCCCGTCAGACTTCGACGCACAGGTCACACACACACACACACACACACACACAGAGACAGACAGACAGACAGACGGGCGGATGTGTGTGTGTCTCCCATCGCACTGCGTGTGTGTGGTTCAGACGGATCGAGATTTGGTGGAGAAGGGCTTCCTGATGTCACAGAGAAGAAGGAAGACGTTTGCCTCACCCGCCGCACACACCAAAGGCCAGCCAGCCAAGGAATGAGCGTGGTGAGACTCAGTCAGTGTGCCTCAGCCGCCTGTCTGTGCGTGTGATCTCCTTGTGCTGTGTCTCATTCATTTTCTCCAGGTGACTGATGCCACTGGTCTGTCTGTCTGAAGAGCAAGAGAGGAACGAAGTGACACCTCTGAGTGCATGTAACTAACATCACCACAGACCGTCGACATCAATGTATCTGAATTATTGATATCTGCGAGAGACACACAGCCGTGTGCTATCGCCTAGTGTCTACTCTACTTCAACGGCCGGTCGCAACACGCTCCAGGAAGACGAAGAGCTTTCGAGAATCAAAGGTACACAGCCTGTCCGTGTGGGTGGCATGGGAAAGGGACACAGACAATAAACAGCATAGTGAGACGCTGACATGCACACACGGCTGCGTACCCGTCCAGGAAGACCTCCGTTCCCCCCACAGCAGCGTTTTTCATCTCATCAATCCGGCCCTCGGTGATTTGGAAGTCCATGATGGTGCACCGTTTGCTCGCCCCCGGCTCAGCGTGGCATATCTGAATGGACGCACACACATCACATCAACGGACACCGGAGCTGGCCGAGATCCATTCACGCCACCCCTCTTGTGACCGACTGACTGACATTGACATGCCAGTCCCCATTTGGCTCGGCCGAGAAGGTGAAGCGAAGCTGCCGGTACAGGGACTTATCGATGGCTGACGACACATTCAGCAACACCTGAGTGGACAAGAGGAGACGTGACCTTTCTGGGTCAGCGAGTCATTGTGTCTCGCCCGTCACCTTTTTGTTCCTGAGGGCGACATAGCTGTACGTGGCGACCGGTGATAGCATCGCTCCTCTGGGCAGCAGGGAAGGGTCGAGGAGTTTTCTTTTCTGATTCAGAACCGCTAAGCTCTCAAAGCGCAGTGTCGTGTTGTAATTCTGCAATGAGGGGATAGAGACCATGTGCGCCTGTGCGGTCTTGTGCTGTCTTCAGGCTCACTGTTGCTGCCTGCTGGATCTTGCTTTCCACGCCGAGGGCAATGGAGAAGCGGAGTGTCTCCCGCAGATGCTCGAGGGCTTCGTGCAGCCTTTCTTGGTGGAGCGCCCGCTTCTGAGCGATGATGTCCTTGCCACGCTGAGCAAACAACACATGGAAAATTTCTGTGTGTCCGGGCGCCTGCCGTGGACGTTGCCCACTCTGATCCGCTCCAGGTACTGCCAGGCATCAGATTTTGTAGAATCATTTTTCTCATCAATTAAATTAATGATTCACATGTTGTCACAATCTTTACCTGCCAGTGCTGCCTCCTCTGCCTGATATTGTCGGCTATCCAGGACATCACCTCCTCACTCGGAATCTCAGCCTGCATGAATTCCTCCCATGCACACAGCCGTCGGCCAAAGCACCCTTCACCTGTTTCATTTCGTCAATCTTTCGAATGGCATTCTGCAGGAAGTTTGCCGTCTTGTAGTCGGGCGGCGTCTTGGCGATGAGAGCCATCTGTGTTTGGTTGAGGTGCTCCCTCAAGCTGTCCAGCTCGTCTCTGTCCTTGTCGTCAGCGCTATTGCCCACCGGCTTGAGTGGCGGCACTGCGAGTAGGCTCTGCTCGACGATGCGGCGGGGGTCCTCTGAATCGGGGGGGATGTAGCGCCGGATCGCAGACGCACCGTCCTGCATGCAGGATGACCTGTACGTTATGCGACCAAGCCGACTCACTGCTCACTGCTTTCCCTGACGATGTCTGCGCAGAGAGGTAGGCGGGCACCGGGGCACGTGATAGGGGACAGTAGGCCAAGTTCGGCTCCCTGCGAGACATAAACACCTTTGTCAGAGACACACAGACTCTTTCCCCTTTACTTGAGCAGGAATCGGTGATCGACTTTGAAGTTGTGTTCCGTCGGCTGCTGCCGGCACCGTCTGACGACGCTCTCAGCGAATGGAGGGTTGCGGCCCTCCGAGATCTCGTCAAGCAGGCTCGCCAGGCGGTCCTTCTTTGCTGACCCCAGAATGATCTGCGATCGATATGCGCGCAGCATGTTGACTAGCTCCGTGACAATGTCGCTGCGGAGCGTGACGTAGCAGGGGTCGAGCTCGAAGTGAGAAGCGTACACGTCAATGGTCATCTGAACATGGATGTGAGAGCGAGACATGGATGTCGCCTCTCCTTTGTGTGTCTTACGTCGACGTCAGTGGTGTCTTCTCGGCCGGCCAGGTCGCCGAGTATCTTCACCATGGGACTCTTGAGCTCCTGTCGCACACACACGACAGATGGATGAGCAGTCGCCCTACGCCACACCCCTGTCTGCCCGAGATCTCACCGTCCCCACACCACTGAGGAGGTTTCTGCTCTGCACCGACTCGTAGTCATCGGCGCAAAACATGTCCAGAAAGACAGCGACCTGTTCGTCCAGGAGACAGTGGAGAGAGGGATGGACAAATAATGACAATGAAGCATGGGGCGAGTGGATGGATGGAGACCTGCTTGAGGTTTTGCTTGACTTGGTCATCAAGAGGAGCGTAGTTCAGTCGACCTGACGACGACGCACACAAGTAGAGAGAGTACGGGTACTGTTGGAAAGCTCCCCTGCCATTTTCTCACGCGTGAATGAGTCCGGCTTCTCCAGCAGTGGCTTCACGACACCCTGGACAAGGAAGGAACGCAGCGAGGTTGACGACAGCCACCCAGCCAAAGACACTTTCTTCGTGCGTACCAGTATGACAAGTCTGATAAGTGGCCACCGCAGCAGCTGGTCCTTGGTCAGTGAGGTCGTCTCAACCACAGGAAAGTGACGCTCGCGGATGAGGCCCGCCGAGTAGTTGAGCAGCATTCGCAGCGCCACGGGAATCTTGGCGGCCAGTGCTGAGAGGCACTGGATGATGTTGGTGAGCATCACCGTCTTGAAGGCGTCCAGCTGCGTGGTGAGGTAATTGCGCACTCTCTGGTCCTTGGCGTCCTTGATGTCTGCACACATCCACACATCCACGGGCAGCAGGCCGGCCAGCCATGAGCGTGGACGCATTGTGTGTGTGTGTGTGTGTGTAAAGGCTGACTGACTGACTCAAGATCCTCAGCGCGCTGTCGATGTCAAAGACAAAGTACACGCTGCGCATCGTCTCCAGCACGCCAGCAAGGGACCTGGACAGACAAGGAGTGACATTAAAGGAAAAGAGCAGTGGCTGCACCGTGTGTGTCTCACACACGTCTCTGTTTCATTCTTGTGTGTGGCGAAGCCATTCAGGCTCAGCAGCGGGGCAGCCAGGTCGCCCGAGTGGGGCTCATTCAGCGCCAAATTGGAAAACAGACGAAAGAATATCGACGCGCCTGGCTGGAAGGGCATTTCTGAGACCCGATGGCCCGACAGTTCAGTGCATTTCTGCACCTCCCGCCCAGCCACATAGCAGCAGAGCGCCATGAACAAGTGCTCAACCCTCGGCACATGCAGAGAGGCATATAGCTGTGTGAACCACACACACACACACACACGCATAACACCAACGACATTCGCCGTCATCGGCTCGGCGTCTCACTTGGGTGGTGGCCGTGAGAAACACTTCCCTCTCCCTCTTGACGCGAGGAGACGCCGACACGCTGCCGTCTGCAGTCACTGAGGGGCAGGGCAGGCTCAAAGCCAGGTTGCCCAGATACGCTGGCTGCTGCTGCAAGACAAACATCAGCTCCCGAAGAGCATGCAGCTTGCGCAGAAGCTCGCTTGGGGCACACTGACGCAATCTGGACACAGACACACACAGAATGGCTTGCTTGTCAGACAGATCATGGTTGTAGCAGCATGCCTGCCTGTCTAGGTCTGGCGCCGGGCACCGCAGCCGCCTCATGTTGGCCATGCATTGCATCTCAACGTCGCTCTGCAGCCTTGCCAGCTGCGTCTCGGGGGACGACAGCGCGGCTATGTCGGCGAGGAAGCCGTTGTAGGTCGACGTCAGCTCGCCCTGTCACATCCACACGCGCTAAAAAGTGTCTCTGACCTCTGTCTCTGTCTGATGTACCTCAACTTCTGCTAGTGTTGCGTCATCGTACTCCTCAGCCTCGGCCTGATACGTCCAAAACGATTGAAAGCCTGCTCAAATTCTCCACGACACTGACTCACCCGCCGCACCTACCTGTAACATGCTCTGCAGGGCGGCGAATGACTTGATCGACGTGCCCTTCTTGAGAGATTCAATCATCTTGGCTGTCTGCCGAGCCTCCGCCTCCTATACGGACCAAGGCAGGAGCTCACAATAACCAGCGTGCGTGCCAGCTCGTGTTATCTCACCTTGTGTTTCTCAGCCTCTTCCTCTGTCTCCTCACCCTCCTCACCGCCCTCCTGCCTCTCCTCGGCGCCGGCGACGAGTGCCATGGCCTCCAACGACACCCAATTGGCTAACACCTATCATATGAGCACGCACCCATATGTCGATGTCTCGGACACACAGGGAAGATAGGCACGTGCCTTAGTTGGGCTGTGAATGATGTTGCTGGAGGTTTTGCGGATGCCAAGACGGCCAGACGTCGAGGCGCCCCAGGCCAGCATGTCGCCAGACGATAGAACAGCTACAGAGTGGTGCGGGCCCGTCGCTACAAGCTCTACCGATGACTCGATCAGCTCAAGCGGCTCTGGGTGGTCTACTGTCCCAAACTCTCCACCAAGGCCAAGCTGCCCGTTGCGGTTGTCGCCCCAAGCCCACACCTCTCCCCCTTCCAGCAGCACCAGAGTGTGCTCATCCCTGCACACCACCTGACGATACCGAGGCTCCCCGATCGGCAGCTCAATGGCAGTGAAGTGGGTGGGCTCCAAGAGGTGATCGGGCCCGCACACACACTTGTCACGCCCCCACACGTACAGGTCGCCCCTTCGTGTAATGCAGCAGCTGTGTGACGAGCCGCAAGCAATCGACTCGCCTTGGACGCTGCGAGGAAGCGGCACCTGAGACATCCATCGATGTGTAAGGCAATCGAGCATTCCGGAGACCTCCGTGGATGTGATGTTCCATATGTCATCGCTTTCCTTTGTTGGTGTGTAGGCGTTGTCTGTGTGCGAGAGGCCCAGCCGTCCATAGAAGCCTGCACCCCACGAGCAGACCTCCCCCTGCACAGTGATGGCCAACATGTGGTGCAGACCTAGAAGACCAGCAAAGAGACCCATGTCAGCGCAAGACAATGCGTCTCACCCGTCCCTCTCACCCATAGCAATGCCCTTGATCGGTGTATCCAGCTTGACGTGTCTGGGGATCAGCAGAGACCCCGAGGTCAGATGCGGCCCGTGCCCCAGCTTCCCCCACTCAGCGCTGCCCCAAGTCCACGTCTCCCCTTGGATGCAGTCACGCCCGCCAGTGGATCGCAAGGCGGCAGAGAAGTCCTCCCCACAGGCAACATCGAAGCAGTCGTGCAGTGTGGGAATCAGGGTGGGCTCAGAGGAGTCACGAGCCAGCCCTGAACCAGACATGTATGCCTCGGCTCTTGTACGGCTGAGAGGCCGTGCTGGGTAGCTTACTTACCATACCATTGCCTAACTGGCCGTGCATGCCTTTGCCCCACGCCCAGACACGCCCGTCGGTCGTGACGGCCAGAGCGTGCTCCGACCCGCAGGACAAGCGACGCACGGGCCGGTCCAAGGTGAGCAGACGAGAGGGCTCCCAGGAATCCTGCAGCAGGTGCACGTACAAAACAAAGGCACACCAGGTTTCACGTGACGTGCATATGTGGTGGCTATGCTAGAATGAATGTCACCAGCGTGGTGCTGTGTCCAAGCATCTCCGATACGCCCCAGAGCCACACTTGTCCGGCCTCAGTCACACATGCTGTGTGCATTGCGCCGCACGCCACCTGTTCGACCTGCCACGGCGCCGCATCCTCGTCTTCACCACCATCCTCCTCGCCCTCCTGCACGAGACACACCAACCACAAGTGCCTGCCAGCTTTGCATTCCTCCTGATGTCTCTTGCCTCTTGCTTTACGTGCTCCAGATCCTCTGGCAATGCCGTTCCCCGGCTACCCTCGTAGAGAGACGACCGCTTCCTGCTCCGGAAGTATCCACCGTCAGCCGCACGGCTCGCCGCACCGGCACCACTCTCCTGGTCGCCCGCAGTGAGTAAAGGCATCCCCTTGATGCCATCCAGCCTCTCGGGCGACGGCAGGGTCATTGTCTGTGGGTGTCCGAGACGGAAGCCCCCGCTGCCCCAGGTATATAGCTCCCCGGTCTGCTGTATGGCTGCAGAATGGTAAGCGCCGGTGGCAATCTGAGCAACGGCAAATCTGAAAGCGGGAATGAGTCGAGGGCTCGGCACGAGTGAAGCATGCTCGCTCCCCGGGCGGCTGCCGCCTCCACGGTCTCCTGACGCATGTTTGGAGAGACCCAGCGCAGTGCCTTTGCCCCACGCCCAGACGCGTCTCCGGCTGGTCAACGCGAGAGTGTGGAAGGTGCCGCAGACAACCTTGATCACGCAAGTGTGTCGCAAGTCATCCACTCGGCGAGGAATCGGTTGATCACCTGCCTCGCCATGGCCCAAGCGGCCGAACGAAGCATTGCCCCTAGGTACAAGACAGGAGGCACGCAGGAAGCTGTGCACCGCACCAGGAGAGGTCTGTAGGGGATAGTGCTTACTTACCAAGTGTAGAGCCCTCCTGCACGGTCAATGCAAGCAGAGTGAGCCTCACCGCAGGCCACCATGACCATGTGCCCCTCGATGCCGTCCGTCACCAGCTGGGGTGTCAGCATCATCTTGCAGTGCCCGAGACCCAGCCGACCGTTGCTGCCCTCTCCCCAGGCATATAGAAGGCCTTCACGGGTGCAGCAGAGAGAGTGCTTGGCCCCGCCCGCACAGTGCACGACGATCGACCCATCCCCGCCGGTGACTGGTGTGGGCAGCTCTCCCTCGCCCCTACCCCGTTCGGTGCCCTCAGGAAGCATGACTCGGCTCGGTCTTGGGCGGTCTTGTGTGTCGCCCTGGCCGAGATTTCCCCATGTGCCGACGCCCCAAGACCACAGGCTGCCGTCCTCTGTGATTGCCAGCGTGTGATCAGACCCGCATGCCACTCTCACCACGTTTGCGGTGAAGTCAATCCTCAGGGGGAAGGAAGGGCACCACGCCTCGTCGCTCCGGGTGGAGAGGCCGCTTACCCACTCCCTCTTCCGTGGTTTCACCCCCGGCACACGCTCAATCTCTTCCTCTTTCCTCGCCGCCTCGTCTTGGGTAAGGCCCAGACGGCCGCGACTCCCGAGTCCCATCGCATAGAGATCTCCGCCCGCCGCCTCGGCTGCTTTCAGCAGGATCATCGAATGCTGAGAGCCACACGATACATGCTGGCCCGTTGCTCCTCTTGGCAATGAGATGGGCGCTGGCTGGCTCTGCTCTTTGATGTTGCGGCCGAGGCCGAGGCAGTTGTGTTTGTTGAGTCCCCACGCCTGGATGCTGCCGTCAGGGCAGACGAGGAGCGTGTGGTTCAGTCCGCAAGCGACGGTGCACAGCGTTTTGTGCGCAAACGTGGCGCTTTCCGTCTTCATGTTGGCGCGACTGCTGGTCTTGCGCATGCTTTCGAAGGGGGCGTTGTCCTTTCTCGCAGCCCCCACATGGCCCCCACACGCATGCGAGACGAGACGGCTCAGAGAAATGACATTTTAGACGGCCAAACTCTCTTTTTGATGACGCGAAGGCGAGGCCCGAAGGGCCGAGCCGAGCAAGGACTTTGGTGCGAAGGCGAGGCCCGAAGGTGCTCACCGGGGTGCCGGCCAAACCTCAGCTGCTCCTCACTGCCGGACGGAAAGAAGAAGAACGACCTCGACAAACATGCAGGGAACCAGGAGATGTACTCGCAGTTTTTCTCCGAGAGGTCCTCGTCCGCCGCCTCATTTGCAGTGTATACCTAGATGCAGTGCGACTGACCGTCTGTGTGCAGGCATCGGTGGTTTGTGTTATGCGGCTCTGTTGGCCAAGTATGGCGACGACGTCACTGTCTGTGAGTCGCACGTGTACCCAGGTACTGATGATGCACACACCAAGAGTGTCGGGCGTATTGACCGCACCGCTGCCCTATCTCTCCTTTTGTGGGTGTGGGTGTCAGCTGGTGCGGCGCACTCATTTGAGCGTGATGGCTACATGTCTCAGGGCCCAGCCTCTGGGCCGGCATGAGCCAGCCGTCAATCAACCCTCTCAGACAGGCAAGACAGCAGACAGACAGACAGGCACACCCAGTGCCCGATAATGGGTTTTGTGTGTGTGTGTGACTGGCTGACAGGTGCTTGATGCCGTGGGTGAGGAGGACTCCATCGAGTGGTGCAGCTACGACGGCTGGTCGCTCTACACACCAGAGGGCACATGGCGATACACCGTCGGCCCGGGCAACTTCGAGCCGACACTGCGCAAGTACGGTGGCGAGCAGGCCGTCAAGGAGTGGCGAGCACGCAAGGGCTCAGCCGTTCTCCGATGCGGGCCATCTTCCACAGGAGGCCCATGAAGTTCATTCATTCATTCATTCGAGCGTCCTCGTGAGCACACAAGGCATTCATTCGGACGAAGCGAGCAGCACTGCAGGACACCCTGCAATGACCAGGGCGGCGAGTCCGGCTCACCAAGGTTTCCCTTGGCTACTCTCTGGGTTTCACATGCCCCGTAT